TTGTGGCTGCCGCGGCGCTGGCCGAGGCGACCGCCGCGCCCGGCGCCTCGCCCGCGCGAAGCTCCCTCTCGAGGGCCTCGATCTCGCTCTGCAGCTCGGCGTTCCGCCTCTCCAGCCTCCACGGGGGTTGGCTGCCCTTCGGCCCGCCACCGAGGGCCGAGAAGGGAGGTCTCAGGGGTGCTCGTTTTTTGTTGTATGTATGGTTTCTTGTTGTTGTTCATTCCCCCCTCTCTGTCTGTCTCTCTCTCTCTCTCTCTCTCTATGTATATAAATATAAGCCTGCGCACCTCTCCACGGGAGTGAAACTCAGAGGCGATTTATTGTGAAGCCGCGCTTCTTTTTGTTGGCCGTTTCACTCGGGACATCCTCAACATTCTGAAAAACGGACGCACCCCTCACGCAGATCGCGACGTCACAACCCGAAAACACAACCTTTTTTTTCAATCGTTGTATCAAACACCTTTCAGAAACGTAATGAAATTCAATGATGTTGAGCCCGATCCTTCGAACATTGCAGTTTCGCCTGAGACACCCTACAAAAATCGAGCCCCCTTTCAGCACGATTCCAAGAAGAGGACAGTTTCGCCTGAGACATCCTCCCAACATCGGGCCCTGACGTACAACACACAGAGCACACACATAGAACGAAAGCACACATACACACATACACGCATGCTCGCCCACCGCACAAAATACACCACGCACACACAACACAAAGAACACACACAACACCTACAACACACAGAACACAAGCACCGAGAACACACACGCACACACGCACACGCACATCAGCCACGGCATAGCCAACACAAGCAAGACACACACACACACACACACACACACACACACACGCAACGCACACACACACACACACACACACACACGCACACGCACACGCACACACACAACACACACACACACACCTGACACACATAATACGCATAACACACATGACCCACACATAACTTGCACATGGCACACACAAAACACAGCACACGCACACAACACACATTCGACTTAACACGAACCTTACACGCCACATACATGTATATGTTTATTTTGTCGTGCCCATCTGCTTGTACGTATGATCCTGGGCACGCACGTGCCACTTGTACACACAAACACGCAAGCACACACATACATATTTTATCGATACACACATATATATATATGTATACACACGTACCGCAAGATCCGCAACCTTCGACTAGCCTCCCACAGCTCACACAACAGCTGGCACTGCGAAACAACTCGCCTGGCCACTAAACTCGTGAAACACGGCCTGCATGAAGAGGAAGGAGGACGAGGACGCGGAGGTCTCAGAGATAAGTTTTTGGGGTGGGACGTGTGCTCGGGCGTTATCGGAATATGCTCTTGGGTGATTTTGATCTCTTTGGGTCTCCGGAGGCCCCCTGAGGCCTCTGGGCGTCAGCATCCAGGAGGCAACAACACTTTCCAATCCGGCCTCTCGATCTCGCCCTTGCGGGCCAGCTGGTCCCGCACCATGTTCTCCATGCTCCTACTCTGGCCGTGGAGCATGTCGGCCCATGACCGGTTGAGGGTGGGGCTCTGTCGGCTCAGGTCGAAGCTGTAGGACACGGTCCTGGGCTCCATGCCTGCCCGGAGAGCACCCTCGAACTCGCGACGATGCCGCGAGGGGGCCACAGGTGTCCGCCGAAGATGCGGGGGACCTTCGGGCTCCGCACGAGCATGTGACCGTCGAGCCCAGATGGCTCGAGCCAAAGTGGATACGGATGCCACGAGGAGGAGGAGGAGGAGGAGGAGGAGGAGGTGGAGGAGGCGGAAGAGGAGGAGGAGGAGACGGAAAAGGAGAAGGAGCAAAAGTGGGTGGATGATGGAGATGGAGAGTGAGATGGGAAGGTGGGAAGGAGGGCTACCTATCAAGAGGAGGCAAAGTGCACTTGAGACTAAAACAAATCGAGGCGCGATATTAACAAACCCTGACCCTGATAACGTGTGAGATGACGGTCACGCCTGGCTTCGCAAGGCGGCCCGTCGTAGCCATAGTCCCACCGCTCGCGCGCGCGCTCAATCTGCAGCGCGACCAGATCATGAGAATGCGCGGCAAAGATGCACGGATATTTTACGCCCAAGTCGAAGCCGAAGTTGGAAGTCTATGGCCCGCTTCCAAGGGCCAGGATGGACCGAGAGGTAAGGGCGCACAGGGCAGCCCTGGAAAGCTGCTCGCCCTTGGGACGTGGCCTGGCCGCGTAGCTTCTGGGAGTCTCAGGCGTCGCGCCCGACCCCGAGAAGTTGCCGCTCTTTCGGAGCATCCGAGGAGGATGATGATGAGGAGGAGGAGAAGGACCAGTGTAAACCCAAGACTCATCAAAGATGTTGGAGTAAACCCTCCCTCCAAGTTCCCTCTTCACAGGCCCCTGCAAGAATTCATTTCCACTGGGGGCAATGCCCTGCTGTTGGGGGACAACCGATTGAATGTCCTGAAGCGTGTCGAAACACCATTCTCGGGACTCCAACGCCAAGAATCAACCTGACTGTTGCGTCTTGACACTCCTGAATCGTGCCAGAACGCCAATCCTAGAACTTCAACGCCGCGAATCAGTGTAACGGTTGCGCCTGACAGTCCAGAATCATTCCGAAACACCTTTTCTGGTAAGCTGACCATGGGAAGCTGTGAAACTGCTGCACGTGGTTAGAACGAATGAGCGTGGCGCTCAGGCGAGAGCCACATCTTGAAAAGGAACTGCCCCCAATCCGTGAAAGTCTTGAAAATGTTTGAGACGAATGTGCGCGACGAAAACCGCCCACCCTCAATCCGTAAAGCTCTTGCAATGTTTTAAAAACAAATGTGCGCGGCGCTAAGGCGAGAGCCACATTTTGGAAGCGGCCCGCCCTCCATCTGTTCACGGTGCGACAGGGATGACACATTTGTAAGGCACCGGAGCTGAAGGAGGAGAAGAACGAGGAGGAGGAGACCAGGGCTGCATGCATGTGGGCCGGAGTTGGACGGCAACTCGGCCGCGGCACCCAGCGGAAGTACCCACCTGCCAGTGGCAAGGGGGGCCCCAGGGAGAGACCTCGGGTCTCGAACCATGCTGAAACAAACTTGTGGTTCCCGACAGTATCCACGGGAGGAGGAGGAGGAGGAAGAGGAGGAGGGGGAGGAGGAGGAGGAAGAGGAGACGAGGAGGAGGGGAGGAGGAGCCCCAGGGGTTGAAGAGTCCTTCGGGCGCTCTCCTCGGCTCTCCCCGGGCTGCCTTTCAGCGGCCGCGGCCCGCCGCGACCACCCCTGGGGCTCCTCCTCCTCCTCCTCCTCCTCCTTCTCCTCCCCCCCTCCTCCTCCTCCTCCTCCTCCTCCTGAACCATGGTTAGACGACGAAAGCACGGTATCGGCATCTCCCCCAGGGAGGGGGGTCCAAGAAATCCGCGCGGAGCGTCGAAAGTTTATGTGCGTGGCATTTTTCCTTCTTCGAGCAACGTCAGTGTACAGTGAATGATTCCGTGGGAGATCACGCAGTGAAGCCTGGCACTCTCTTGGCAGGGGGCTCTTCCATGGCGGGGGCCCGCACTGGCGGTCAGGCTCCACCGGGCCAGAGCAAGACGGAGGCAGGATGAGACCGGATGAGGACAAGTCCCTCCTGGACGGATCCCATCGGATCCCGCCCAGGCCACACCATTGGGCCACTGCACCCAGGCCAGCCCGCCGGGGACTCGAGCGGAGGGGTCACACCCGGCACGCCCGCCACGGGCACGAGCCGAGGCGCCACGTGGCTGCTCGCCAGGCGCGCGGCCTCGTCGGCCTACGCGCCACGACGCCGCACTGGGCGATGGCCACCACGGCACAGCCCGTCACTACCCTAGGTCACCTAACTTAGCGCATCGCGCCCCGCGAAGCGCGACGCGCGGTCACCTTCGCGCCCTCGCACACCCGCCCTGGACAAGTGCGCCTCTCCAACTCGAGCCGCGATGCGTGAAGCGCGATTATCTTCGCGCCCCTGGGGGTGACCCAGGGTCTGGATGCGGCTAGGTCGGAGATCTCTGAGAGCTGGCGAGCCCGGAGGATGCATCGGGCGCCGCGGCCGTTTCTCAGAGCGCTCCAGAGCGCTCCGGAGCGCTCTGCGACGACTTGTTCTCATCCCGGGCCTGCCTGATCGACGCCGAGACGGAGCGAGGCGAGGACCAGGGCGGCACAGCAGACCCCAACGGAGCGAATGCACGGGTCACGTGCGCACGACGCACGCAGCACGGAGCCCCTACCTCACAGAGGCTACTTCCCCTTCCTCCGACGTCTTGATTTTCCAATACGTGGCCCCCAGACCTCTGGACTCCTTCCCCGGGGCACTTTTTCGTCACGAGCCGCTTCTTGATGACACAGGGGCCCAGAGCCAGCCACTGGAGGTCGAAAGTGGCAACAAGAGGAGGTCGCCTCGAGCTTCAAGCGGCTGGGGGTCCTGGGGAGGGCGAAGGGCTTCGGGGACGACGGGAAACCCGTTGGCACGTTCCAGGAGCTCCGAGTCCCAAATTACCCGAGACGTAATTACCCAGCCCCTTCTTCACGCGAGGCGAAGATTTGTATGGACGCTCAATACAGAAGAACACATCGCCAGATATGCACGACCAGCGCTGCCCTCGTCTCACTCGTGCCTCCCAGGAGCCCACGAAAGTGGCGACGGTTACGCAGCTCGCAGCCACGGAGCTACGAGGTCTCGGCTGGATGCGCGTACTCCGCTACTCCGCCGTGCCTCCCAGGAGCCCACGAAAGTGGCGACGGTTGCGCAGTTCGACCGCGGTGCTCGATTTCAAACGAGAGCCTAACATTGGAGGGTTGGGAAACATTGTGATCTCAAATGGGCGCACTTTTTACTTCCGCCAATTTCCGTGGGCCTCCTGCCGGCTTCCGCTGGCGAAGCCGCCACCGTTTTACTTCCGCCGCCTCCCGCCGCCCTTCCACCGAGGAGATGTCAACCTCTCGACTCCTCGAGTGCGAGAGGCCCTTCCTGGAACGCCTCCCATGGCGCCGTCCTGCGGCATGGTGATCTGGGCCTGCCAAACGGGCTCGCCATTGGTCAGCGCGGGGCGATCCACCACCTCCGCCTCGATGCGCTCTCCGGTGACTTCCTGCAGGAGTGCAGGAAGCACTAGAGGCCAAGAGACGGGGCGGCACGGGCTTCATGCTGGGACTGCAGCCGGCACACCAAGCAAGAAATTAGCCTACCAGCGGCTACCCCTATCATGATCTCTGATCCTCTGATGGTCCCTGCGACCCATGGGGGCACCTTACGAAGCTGACGGTCGACGAGGGTATGCCCCTGAATTCCTTGCATCTAGAATTGCTATCGTGCGTGCCTGCAGTACCAGGTCACCGAACTTCGCGCATCGCGCCCCGCGATGCACAACGTGCCCTTATCTTCGCGCCTTCGCGCCGCCGCCCTGGAGAAGGGGCAGCACTGTGGACAAGTCCGCCACGCGCGAAGCGCGATTATCCTCGCGCCCCTGGGGGTGACCCACGGTGAGGGCATTGGACAAGGAACCCTTGGGTTAGGAATCCAGGGTCTAGACGCAGGTGGAACTCCAATCGTGGATTGGCGTGGATATCACCGCCGCCCTCATCAGCCTCGTGGACACATCCCTTAGCGAACGCCCCAACCGTAAGTAAGTCTGTAGCCCAGGCCGTGACGCGCGAAGCGCAATTGTGGCAGGTTCGTGTCGCGCGACGACCCCAGCGTTGGTTCCTGACGTCGCGTGGATCTCTCGATCTTGGACGAACGCGATATCGCAAATCGTTCGATGCTTGCCGATCCTGGGCCACTGGCAACGCTCAACCTTGGACGCCCGCGCCGGGGTCGCCACCGCGTCGAAACGACACCAGCTTGCCGCACTTTCGCGCCACCCGCGGGCGACCCAGAAGCACACGTGGCCGCATCCGCGTGCAAGGGGCATGCGGAGACCGCGCGCTGGGAGGACGCGCGGCCACGTGTGGATCGTTCAGAAAGCTCTGAGCCTCCAGAGTGTTGACACCTCCTGTCGGCCACACGCACGAGTGACCATGGGCAGAGGTGACCTTTGGTGCGCGGCTTTGGGGGGCTGCGGGTGGGCCAACGCCAAGCGCACAGGCCAGATGCTGGGGGGACCCCTGTGAGCCCGCACCAAAGGCCACTCCAGCGAAAGGTCTCTCTGACGCGTAGCCGAACTACCCCCTACTGACACGAACTCTGGAGGCTTCCTGAAGGGCTAGATGAAAGCCTACCGCAATCGCGGCGTCATCAAATCGTTCATCAATGTGAGGGCCCACGGAGACGCGCGTCTTTTACTTCCGCCAGCTTCCAACGGCGGAGCCGCCCCCGTTGTGATTCCGCCGACCTTTCGCCGCCATCCGCCGAGGAAGAGATGCCAACTCCTTCGGTCCTCGCAGGCGAAGCCCTGTCTGGAACGCCTCTCCAGCTTCCTAGGGGCGGCAGGGGTATCAGGAGAGGGGGTCATGGAGAGAATGATGATGATGATGATGATGATGATGATGATGATGATGATGATGATGATGATGATGATGATGATGATGATGCTGATGCTGATGCTGATGCTGATGCTGATGCTGATGCTGATGATGATGCTGCTGATGATGATACTGATGCTGATGCTGATGCTGATGCTGATGCTGCTGATGATGCTGCTGCTGCTGCTGATGATGATGATGATGATGATACTGATGATGATGATGATGATGCTGATGATGATGATGTTCATGATGATGATGATGACGATGATTATGATGGTGATGTGATGATGATGATGATGATGATGATGTTCATGATGATGGTGATGGTGGTTATGATGATGGTGATGATGGCGATCACCACCTGCTAATCTCGCTGGTCTCCGCTGGTGGATGATGATGACGATGATGGTGATGGTGATGGTGATGATGATGATGATGATGATGATGATGATGATGATGATGGTGATGGTGATGGTGATGGTGATGATGATTCTGATGATGATGATGATGATGATGATGATGATGGTGGTGGTGGTGGTGGTTGTGGTGATGATGATGATGGTGATGGTGATGGTGATGGTGATGATGATTATGATGATGATGATGATGATGGTGGTGGTGGTGGTTGTGGTGATCATGGTGATGGTGATGGTGATGGTGGTGGTGATGATAATGATGATGCTGAGGTTGATGATGATGCTGCTGTTGCTGATGACGATGACGATGACGATGACGATGATGATGATGATGATGATGATGATGATGATGATGATGATGATGATGATGACGAGGAGGAGGAGGAGGAGGAGGAGGAGGAGGAGGAGGAGGAGGAGGAGGGGCAAGCAGGCAGGACCCACGGGATCCCAGAGTGCGCCGCAGGTCACGCGGCATGAATAGGCAGAGGAGGAGGAAGAGGAGGAGGAGGAAGAGGAGGAGGAGGAGGAGGCACGTGCGTCGCCGGTCGGTGGCTGAGGATCAGGACGGGGAGGAGGGGTTCGAGGGGTGAGAGGAGGGAGAGGGGAGGGTGGGGGCGATGGCGGTTTAGGAGGATAATGAAAAGGAGTTGGAGCGGGGAGGAGGGGTGCGACAAGAAGAGCACGAGGAGGGGAGGAAAAATAAGACGTCTGAATCGGGGCCATTTGGCATCTGGGAAGGCCAGAAAGTCCCAGAGAGTTCTGAGACCATTAGGACTAATGTCACGCGTGTAGAATCATTCAACATCATTTCGCTATTATATCTCACCTATTACTTTGGCTCCCGCCGCGGCACAGTCTCGGGAACAGACACCATTCAGGAACCTTCCTGGCATCGACGATCTGGTGCTCAACAGGCAAGACCTCGTCTATTGCTACGTACACTGAGAAGTCAGCGATTATTGCAGCAACATCTTAAGGACATGTACGGTGGAATATCTCGTCGTCTGCGGACGTTGGTTGCCAGGCGAAAACCGTCATGATGTTGCTGTGGTGCGCGGTCTTGCCCTGCGGTCGGCGATCACCGGTGTCTTTCAATTTGTTATGTGAACGAACTTGCACTCGGTGTGTACCGCGACCCTTCAATCTCTTCCGCGTACCCTGCGCTGCAAGGCCTGAGGCATGGCCCCCGTAACCCTCCCGCTTGGCCAGAGCGATGTCTCGGATATTGATACGAGGCCACATGGTGTCGGGGGCTGCGACAACGGCGCCGTAGTGGACAGGCGCTCTGCACGTGGGGCAGCTCAATCTACCCAACCGATTGCGACAATCGTTGCTGCGCAGGAGGTAGCCGTCCTCCCCGCCCAGCGGCGCGCAGAGTGAGTTCTTCTTCTCGATGGGAGCGAGCGCATCATCCTCATCAACGCCAGGTTCTCGAACGATTTCCTGATGTGGCTTGATCCAGTCCACGCATGCCGTGTTGAATCGGGGAAAACTGTGAGCCCATGATACCGTCGGTCATAGACCAGGGTCCACGAAATCTGGGCCCGTTGCACCCCGGACATTGTAAGACGCAGGATCTGATGAACGTCGCTCCACTTAGGCTGGAACGTAGTTGCCAAGGAACCATCGCGTTGAATCCACATATCCATGGTTCTCGAAGACGCGGGGTTCGAAAGTGAGCACGTGGGACTTCAAGAGGATACGGATCTTCCAGATCAAAAACACGAGCGTCCAATGCTTGGCCGGCTACTGCGCGCGCCCAGCCGCCAGGCCTAAGCCGCGTCGGCATTTGACCGTGCATTTCACGCATTTACCGTCCCGTACTCTCCGTGTCAGCTGAATCGCCCCACCCGAACCTGGCTCGTCTTCTTTTCGCCTTTAGGAGGAGGGCACGGACCAAGCTTACTCGGCCGGCAGGTCAGGAAACGGTGCTGGCGCACGCCCTGGAGGTCCCTGTGCGGCGCCACAACGCGCCCGGTCATAGACCTGCGCACCGAGGCGCCGTCCAATGGAATGACGATTGCCTGGTGGGAGCGCCTCGCTGCCGCGTCGCACTTGATGTGCATGCGCTCGGGGTCAACAATTCGGACGGAGTGACCCTTGCAAGCGCGGAGCAGCAGAGGCACCATCGTAGGCTTTGCCATGGGCGCATTCCCGACAACACAGCTGCCAGTAGGTAGGTCGCGCCCGAAGATGTCGCCCCAATCATCTGGCTCAGCCGTGGGACCCTCTTCAGCTTCCGTTATATGCACGCCAAGTATCTGAACTGTGCGGCGTGGCAGTTGGGCAAGAGCATGCATGAAGGGTGCCCGCGCCCTGTCGTAGCCCTCGTCGCCCAGCATCTCGACGATGGCGGACGCCTCAACCCATCCCCCAGAACTGCGAACGTGGGCTGCACTATGCATCGCCAAGTGAACGGTTGGCGAGCCGATGCGTCCAGCTTCTCCCATGTCCATTTCCGAATACCACGCAAGCGTACGCAGCTCACCGCCAAGGTTCACAGGGAAGAGGTCAACCTCGGGCTTCGAAATCACGGGACCATTCCAATATTCTTTTCTGGAAATCGCCGCATAGCTTCTGTCTGTCTGCGATGGACTCGGGGCCGGAGTCGCGGTGCTCCTCCAGCTTCCGGGCCGGCTCGACACTCACGACCAGCAGTCCTGCGGAGTCGTCATTCAACGAGCGGGGCGCCGAACTCGTCCTTCTCCGCATGCTCCAGCTCGTGGTGGGCCGCGTCCGCTTTCTCTTCTCCCCTCGCCCCGAGCTCGTCTATCGAGATCTGCTGCTTCTTGGGCGGCGTCGGGGCCCCTCCGTGGCAGAAATGTCGCGAAGTGAATGCATCGGGGAGCTCGTTGGAGAGAGTATCGAGAGGAATTGACCTGGGCTCGTGCACAGGGCTCTCCTCTACTTGGTGCTCCACATCACCGCCCTGGTCGTCTCCGACGCCACCCGCCTTTTTTGCCATCCTCGTTCTCCAATGCCACGAACGATATCTGGGCTCGATCTCCGGCACCCCGAGGCGGCGGAGGCGGAGGTTGCTCCTCGTCGGGTGCTTCCAGGTTCACTAAACTCGGTGCTTTGTGGACGGTCGACCTCCCAGACTTGAGGGTCGCGCCCCCGCGGGCACCTTGGCCGGCGCAGGCGGCGCAGTTCCAGGGGGTGGCGGGGCTGGAGGGGGGCCCCGCGGCATAGCTGCGAGTCCCCGGTTC